AAATGCTTCAAAATGAATAGTATCCAGCGGATTCGCTCTTTTATTATAGTAGGGAAATAGTGGAAGCGGATTCATCGACTTTTCTATAACACATTTTCCGTTAAATCGTTATTTCAAAATATATTTTTGACAAGAAATGAATCTCAAACAGACTAAATAAAATTTATTTTACCTTATCTTACTGTTAAGGGTTTTGTACATGTTATGGCAAGCATATCTCTTGAAAGTTATTTGGACAACTTATCACAATATTGACCGGATAACTTACAAAAATACTCTTAAAATCAAAGGTCTTTTGAAAAATTTAATGAAATGTATAATGGAAGTAAAAATTAATTGGTAAAATTAAGTGCTAGTTTTTGAACATAAGTGTCGCATTTTTATTAAAAAAAATGATATGCAGTGTCACTTTTATTAAAAAGTGATGTTTGTCACTCAAAAAAGTGAACGTTGTTCAAAAGAATGACAAAAATTCTAAAAAAAGTGACAAATTCAAAAAAGAAAATTGACATAAAATAAAATAATTGACGAACACTCAAAAAGTGATAGAAATTCAAAAAAAAAAAAAATCACAAATACTGAAAATGACATAAATTCAAAAAAGTGATAGAAATAGTATGATGATGATTTTCTCTTTGAATGATCAGTATCTAATTTACTTTGTCAAGACTTTCGGTAGAAATTTAGAAATAGCGATAGTTTTCTAAACTTGTGACACAAATTCAAAAAAAGTGACGAAATTCAGTAGGGCGCAATTCTACATTTCCACTGCGGTCTGACTTCTGAGTACGGTCCTGTGGCTGTGAGCTTTGACGGAGTCACGGACGACGGAACAGTGGTGCAATAGCTGGAGGCTGGACTGGAGCTTCTGCCAGTATGACCAATTTTTGCCTGCCTGTTTGCTATGATTTTTTGGGTGCAGTTGGTATTTATATTTTTATTCTTATGACTTATAATTTTGAGATATGAGAATTTATGTTATATTATTGTCTTATGACTTATAATTTTGAATTATGATTTGTGAATTGTGATTTGGGAATTTAGGGTTTTAAAAATTAGGGATAAGTGAAAAAAATTAATGGTGAAGATGTTTGGCTCAATTAAATCATGTGTATATTGCTTTTTAATCAATTTTAATTGAAAAATAAATCAGGGCATTTATATTTTTAATCAACGGTGCTGAACCAAATTGCTGGATTCGCCCTGAGTCTGATCAGGGAATTGGGAACTTGAACAGTGTGTATTCTGGGAGCGATCATGATTTTGCTGGTTTACATCTGGATCCCTTATTGCTGTTTATATGCGTTCGTATATTGAATCAATTTTTGTTTGCCTGCCATTTTTTTGTATAAATATGTGGTTAAAATTGTGTAATATTTGGCTGGTTATGAAAACTTATTAAATATTAATTACAAAATATAACGACCTCGCTTTTACGATCATTGATTGTCGACGTTGATTGGTCAACGTCCGCCCGGGCTGGATTTGGATGCTGGGTCCACCAATGTGAACAATGATAGATATTCAATCCAATCCACAGAAATGATAGTAGCTTGTTGGCGCTTGGAGATCACAGGTAGTGGCGGCGTAGTCAGGTTGAGGTGTATCCGTGTGGTTTTAATTAAGCAATTTGAAAAAAGAATGACTTTAATTTAAGTTAAAACGTTGAAAATATTTTCTTAATTGGGGTTCAAACTTTGGATTGAACTAATCTTTGGAAACGGTTTTAAGCTAAAAATATTTAAAAATTAGGGAAAAATACACTACTATACTATAAAAGTCACATTTCATAACTAACAATCTTACAAAATACCTTCGTAAATCGGGTGATAATTCCAATATGTTAATATATAATTATATGATAATAGAAACCAAAATAAGATTAAATACCTCGTTTAAAATTATATCTAAAAAACAGGTATTCTTCTTCTATATTTCTCCCTCCCTCTCACAATCAAATACTATTTATTTTTACACTTCCCTGTTTTCAAAAACTCTCCAAAATCACAGCAATTTCTCAACTTTAGGGAGTCGATGGTATGAAATTATCTTTTATCGAGTATGACGGTAGGATAGTGTGATAATCTTTTAAATTGAGAATCTTGAAATGAAATTACAATTTATCGAGCCTAGCTTTTATATTGAGAATCTCGAAATCAAAATCAAGCATGACTGTGGCACGATTTGGAAAGATCTGATTCGCTACAGTAGCTATAGTGCTTGATTCAATATATTGTATGAATTTTGTGTTGGATTGTCAGGGGTGGGGGTATTATGTGGTGGGGAAGGGGGCCATAATCACATGTGAAGATTTGAGGGGATAAANNNCATGTGAAGATTTGAGGGGATAAAAGGGTTATTAGAGCGAGGAATTGTTGCGTTAAAAACTGAAAAAGATTATGCCATTTTGCTGATGAACAAAACCAATTATTCCTTCTTTCATGTTGTTACAAGTTTTAGTTCAAGAGTGGGTTGAGGAGTATTGTTGATTATTTATAGAATGAGGAGAAAATAGAGGAGGAGGTGTTTCATTCAGAGAAAGAGTTACATCTTGTCAACGAGAGAATATAGTCGGCTTGACAAAGTATTGCTAATTTATCCACTCTCCTCCATTCACTATTCAAGTTTTGCAATGGATTTAAGGACAAAGAAAGACAAACCATAGAAAATTCAATTTTCCAACGAATTCTCTCCTCCATGGATGCCAGCACCTGTGGGAATCTCTTGTTTGCATTCTGAAGAACTCTGTAAAAGATCAGAGTAAAGTTTATGAAGAATTTGGCTGGCACCATTTTCGAAATGAAGCTTCTTATTCCTTTATATTTGAAGTACGTTGTTGAATTAATTCTTTTATCCATCCGAATGAGATTTTTTTATCATCGCCTATATCTGAACTTACGCATCTTTTTCTGTCATCCGATTGTTATAATTCATAGGATTATAAATGCACAGTGGAGTTCTTTGTATCTCCTTTCTTGGTTCAAGAATGGGAAGTTACAGACAAAAATAGGACGAGAAAGAAACACTTCGACTGGATATAATTGGAAGGTCTGCTGATAAATATAAAAATGCCGACTTCATAGTCTTCAACACGGGACATTGGTGGACTCATGATAAAACTTCCAAAGGGTAAAAATTATTCTGACTTGAGCATACAAAATCATTCTACTACGGTTATGCAATTTTGTAGTTGAGTGGCTATTAATGTATGCCAAACAATATCGAACGTTTCACAGGAAGGACTATTATCAAGAAGGCAGCCATGTATACAGTGAGTTGAATGTCCTTAAAGCATTTAGGAAGGCCTTAACAACATGGGGAAGATGGGTTGATGCAAATGTAAATCCCATGAAGATGCTCGTTTTCTTCAGGGGTTTTTCGAAAGTTCATTTCAGGTAACAAAATGCTACGATATTAATATTATCAATGGCTTGAGAGTATTAAAATTTCCATTCTCACTGTAAATAACGATATTCCTTGTCTTGGCCGGGGTTTTTACTTGGTTGATGTGCGGTCAATGTCGATGAGGAATGAAGAATGCCATAATCTTAAAAAGTTCACATATAAGTAAATAAATAAATTTTTTTTGGAAATAAATAAATTACTTATTCAGCAGTAAGGTAAAGTTTTTTACTTGCTTTAAGCTTGGCCAAACATGCCCTATTTTTCCTTCAGCATTGAAACTAACTTGAAATTCTGCATTATGCAGGCATTGATAGCCATTTGCGTTTTTTTTTTTGTTTTAAGCATCTTTGATTTCATCATTGTATACACACAAAACTATATTTATCTATACAGGAAGACCTAGTTGTAATCCGTTTTCAAAAGGTTTGGGTTCCTGTACGCCTTTCCTTCTCCATTTCATTCAACCATGCACACAAATATAGAAATTTTGTTGATAATTTTAAGCCTGTTTTCATTTTCCAGTGCCATTTATGCAGCAGAAAGTAAAAACCCAAATTCGTTGTTGTTGGCTTGTGGAACTGAAAATGGTGGGAAAGATTCTGATGACATGGAGATTCCAGGTTGACCCCAACTTCATGTACCTTGTCAGGTTGCATTGGTGTGATGATGAAGTGAGTGATGATGAAATGACCAAAACTAATGAAAGAATTTTCGATGTATACATCAACAATCAGACTGCAGCGAATACAGTCGACCTGTTTGCCTGGCAGAATTCTGTTACAAGTCCTACCACGAGGGATAATGCAATTAGAGTGTCTAACAAGAGTAGGGATGCAGAATTATGGGTGACGCTCCGCCCAAATGTTAAAGAGAGACCTCTATATGTCGATGTTCTTTTGAATGGATTGGAGATATTTAAACTAAGTAAATCAAATCTTGCAGGATCTAATCCAACGATTTCAGATATGATGAGGAACTACCAGGAAAAACAAGCAGCATCGCCAAACGCTTTTGCTCAGAAGAGCACCACCACTACCATGGCCCTTATCTCTGGTGCTGCTGGCGGAGCTGCAGCTTTTGGGGTTGCGGCCGCCATTTTTCTTGTTGCCCACAAGAAGAAAAAGAGAGTCCCTGGAGATGCCACTAGTTGGTTACCAATTTCCTGGAATTCTAGTACTACATCAGGGGCAAAATCATCTGTTTCTGGCAAGAGTCAAGGCAGCTCGACTATTTCTTCTGATGCTGCAAGTAACTGTCGCTATTTCACCTTAGCTGAGATTAAAAACGGCACAAAAAATTTTGACAACTCCAATGTCATTGGGGTTGGTGGATTTGGGAAGTTATACAAAGGAGTAATCGATGGAGATACCAAAGTTGCAATAAAGAGATCAAATCCATCTTCAGAACAAGGAGTTAATGAATTCCAGACGGCAATTGAGATGCTTTCCAGGCTGAGGCATAGGCATTTAGTTTCCTTGATCGGATTTTGCGAAGACAATGGGGAAATGATATTGGTTTATGATTACATGGGAAAGGGGACTCTAAGGGAACATCTTTACAAGGGAAATAAAATCACTCTTTCCTGGAAACAGCGGCTGGAAATTTGTATTGGGGCAGCCAAGGGACTTCATTACCTCCACACCAGGGCAAAGTACACCATCATTCACAGAGATGTTAAGACAACGAACATTCTTGTAGATGACAAGTGGGTTAATAAGGTTTCAGATTTTGGGTTATCAAAAACAGGTCCCAACATGAACAAAGGCCCTGTTAGTACTGTAGTGAAAGGGAGTTTGGATACCTGGATCCTGAATACTTCCGAAGACAACAATTGACTGAGAAATCCGATGTATACTCGTTTGGGGTTGTTATTTTTGAGGTACTTTGTGCTAGACCGGCTTTAAATCCAAGCCTGCCTAAAGAACAGGTCAATCTTGCCGATTGGGCATTATGTTGTGCAAGAAGCAAGACTCTCGAGGACATCGTCGACCCTGAACTGAAAGGAAAAATTACACCGGAGTGCTTGAAGAAATTCACAGAGACTGCAGAGAAATGCCTGTCGGATCATGGTGTTGACGGCCCTTCCATGGGTGATGTCCTCTGGAACCTCGAGTTCGCCTTGCAACTGCAAGAGAATCCCGATTCAAGCTCTACTGCAGACAGTGGAGGCAGTGACAGCGGCATGGATCATCAGAATGCCGAACAAATTGATCAGAACAACCTCATAGCCATGCATCGAAATACCTTAAATCTTGGAAGTGATGACGACGCAAATGACTCATCAGATGACAGTACTGACGATGTCTTCTCACAGATTGCCAATCCAAAGGGCCTTTGAAAATTGTCTACTCACCGTCTTGTATTCATTTTATACTAGTGTTCATGCCTTGCAAAACAAAATGCTACTTAGCCTCATATTTAAATCATGTAAAGCAAATCACATTTCCTTTTTATATACATTCTATATAATTAATATGTTACCGTATTGTAAAACGTTTTTGCTTTTGAATTATTTCATTTTTGTAGTTTAGAAACATTTCAGGCGAATTTGCTTTCCTTTCGGCCATTTTTCTTTTTTAAGTTTATAGATATTAGTTTCTTTTTCTCATTTTAATGTCTCATAAATCAACTTGACTTGTCTACAGATATCAGCTGAAATGTTATTCCAGAGTAATGTGTAAACTCAGAATTTTAAAGTTAACACAGATAAAATTAGGCCAATAAATTTTTTTCAGTTCCACCTCTTCAATTTCCTGAATACCATGTCTTAACAATGCATTCAGCAAAAGGAAAATATTGACCAGCATAATGTGGGAAAAAGGAAAATATTTATGTAATAAAATGTTTACCTAAATGGACACCCCTTTTTTAAGACACCTATGGAAGTGATGGATAAAGATGTCCTAGTACGTGCCATGCGTTGATAGATTCATCAAGTTCAGTAGAGCATTCCTTGTAAAAGTTCAAAATTTTGAGGTATTTATCATCTGCCAACCCATGAATTGGTATGATTCTCCCGAAGAGAAAAAGAACGAACCAAAACGTATATAGAAAAACAGAGGAATGAAATATTTCCCAACAAAAAAAACAAAGAAAAAAGAGAACAGACTTTTAAGCATAAAGAGGATGAACTATTAACTATAAACAATATTTGCACTCGTCTTTCACAATACAATATGAATATTATCTCCCAGCATTGACTACAAACCAGCAACTAAAAGCAGACACAAGATACTGGTAGAAGAGAAATGGCTTTGGATATGTAAAGCTCGCAACATAGGAAAATGCAGCTCTCCTAAACAAAATTGAAATTTCACAACTCTATCAATTGCCAATTTAGACAGATAAGAGTTCCTAGCCAAAGGTTAATTAGCATATCAAGAAGCTTACAAGCATACTGGGGCACCTCTAAATCACCAACCGTATTATCAAGTCTGTTATAGTTGCTATGAATCTTGTCTCTTGAATCTGCAAATACATCTAGCATGAACCAAAGGAAGCAGTGAAAAAAAAAGGATTAACATAGCTGACTCCAAGTTCATCTGGGACAATGCTTAGTTTGTTGGTGTATCAATTACCTGATGAACCTGGCAGAGAGAACCACAGAACTTTATGTGAACTAAATAATCAGAGGCATTAACCGCATCGTGTTGATTATATTTCACAAACGCACATTATCCACTCAATATTTGACATAACAAATGAAAGAAAATATCCCTTAATAGATAATCAATACAAATAAGAATGTTAAAGAACTTGCATTTCTTTTTGAAAGTTCTCCAGAAGTAATACATTGTCAGTCCATAATGATGGACTAGCTTAGCAAGTTTAGACCCCGACTCGCAGGTTGTGTGAATTACTATCTAAACGCATATATACAAAGAACAATACTGATAAATATGGCAAAATTTCCACTGAACACTTATGTTATCCCCCAATCTTCGTGCCAGAACACAGCCAAAAAGGAACCAGCACCACTGTAAATACTGTACAGGACACACTTGGTAGTATCTAATAACCAGAACAGGTCCTCCGAAGCTATTTTCCATACATTATCTCATATTGTTTGACTTTGGATGGTTCAACTAAGCCCTTCATCCATGATAAATACAATTTCATTAGGGTTGAGAAAATATCACATGAACTTG